CTACACGTATAACAGTAATAATAATAATAATGGTTATTTTCTTATTTGTGTATTAACATTATTGATATGACTAAGTTTGAGTATTCACCACCTTATGCTTTACCAGGATATATTAAAGAAGATGACCAACCAGATCAACGCTTGAGGAGAAGTAGACCTTACCTCGCTACATTCTCACCAAAGGCTAAAACATCACAGAAGTGACACTGTAATAAGACCATACAATAGCTTTAAGTTCACACCATCACCAAATCTGTATAATACACATAACACTACCGTCCAAGTCCAAGAAACATTGCTTTAATACTGCACAAATGTAACGTTTATATCGTCAAGTTGATGTATTTTTTGCTTGCTTTTGAATGTGGTATTGATTGTGAATATAAATACTTTGTTGCAAAATTATTGAAATCATAATAAACTAAATTTTGACTCAGTGTTTTTTTTTTTTTTTTTTTGGATGGTTTAAATTCAGCATGCATTCATAAAAATAGATTCCTGAATGGTTCTTGGCTTGCATGTATGGTTCTAGAAAAAGAAATTTTTGGTTGTTTATAGAACCAAAAGTGGTTCTTCTGTGGCATTACTCCAGAACCTGTTTTGGCACACTTTTTTTTTTTAATACTTGTTCAACACAACTCAATTTGGTGGTAAATGTACAGGCAAAATAGTTTTGTCTTTTTTCTGACACTGACAGTTTCACAGTAAGCTCATGTTAATAAAGCTGCCACCTGACTTTCTTTGCTCCACTTGAAGTGCTCTTCAGCCCAAGTGCCTCATTGTGGAGCCAGCTGGTATTTGCAACAACACTGACACATGTTGAGCTCATTCAGCATGGAACTCAGACGCAGGCATGTGGCTCTCTGTTTTCTTAATAACATCTCTCTTGATGGCCAGCCAGTAATGAGGGATAGTCAAAGTCAAGGTAAATCTACATATGGTGCCACTGTTTCCTTTACGAGTCCTGATTCAGCACCTGGAACGGCACCAGAAAACCCAACACAGTACAGCACATCTACAGATGCAGAAGAGGAGTCTGGATATTTTGCTTCTAACTCTTCATGTTTGCCTAAAGCAATGACGCTGAAACCCTCGTCTGTAGTCCAGTGCCCTGGTGCCTTAAAGCAAACATCTCATAGCATGTGCATGGAGATTGAGACAAAAAGGGATTTTGCTGTGGAAATGCACAGGTCTGTCTTCTGAGTTTCTGTTCTGTATGTTTGTAGCTCCTTAGAATTTTTTGCTCTGATTTGTTGATTTTGTGAACTAGATTTGTTTGTAAAATCTACAATGCTAAAAGTATTTGCCCCTTCCTGCTTTTCTCTATTACTGCATATTTGTTACAGTGAATGCTTTACAAAATGTAGTATTAGACAAAGAGAACCTTTTTAAACACAAAACACAATTTGTAAACTATTTCATTTGTTCAAGGAGCAAATGTGAATCACCCTTGTGGAAAAAAGTAACTGCCCTTGCAAAATGAATAACTTGATGCATGGCCTTGAGCAGCAATAAATGCAACCAACTATTTAATTATTAAATTCACTGTGGCAAAAATGCAATAACAGAGGAAATCAGAAAGGGGGCAGATACTTTTTCACTGTATTGTATTGTAGGATTGCATTAGCCCCTTGAAAGTCCTGTTGTCATTACAAATGTACAGGTCAAATGTATTAAACATTTGACCTATACATCACGCCACTAGAGATTTGTGGATGGGGGATGCTAGGCCTTTTACTAATGAGGTCTGAGGGGTCTATGCTTCCTAAATATCTGTTCACTATAAGCTTTGAAAGTAGCAATAGAATTTGTTCTGTAGTTGCACTAATATGTTTAATAGTCCAGGTGAGAGGGTCATTGTAACATTTGACAGGAAAATTGTATATGTAATATACAAAGGTATATTCCGTGAATGTCGGGACACGATGACACAGATTAATATTGTGAATGTCAAGCCACGATGGCACAGAGGCTAAAGCCCCTCTAAAACTGGCCTAGCAACGTCCCTGATATTGAATATGGTCATTGTTTTAAAAATGCCAAAAGGGGATCTTTGGAACAATGCCGGAGAACCAAAAGTCCTGGAGTGTCCATTGCTTAATAGACTTTAGTGTTTTCACTGGTGTGTCCTACTCAGTTCAGAGCTGATTCATTGGATCTTGTGTGTTGGTGGCAGTGGGTACTTCAGGTTGGGGTTTGGGAACCTGTGCCATAGAAGACCCACTTTTGGTTTGCTATAAGGTCTTTGAAAAGATGGTTATTGAAAGAAATTTTAAAAAAGGTTCTTCACCCTTGTCAACCTTATGTGTAAAAGAGGAAAATTCAGAGAATCACCATCATGAAAATGTTATGTACCAGCTGTAATTTTTAAGAACGTAGCACAAATGCACTGATCAAATAATGAAGGATGATCATACAAGCTCAAATTTTCATATGCCTGTATTCTAAACAGTAGCAAAAACATTTTTTAATCTTCTCTCACCGCATTAACATTTTGTCGTTCAGGTGTTCAACAGGCTCTCCTCAACCAAAGAGTTGTAAGAAGGTACATTTTATCAAGAACATGAGACAACATGACACGCGTAATGGCAGGTAGGTAGCAGTAGCTTCTCAAATGAAGCTACTGCTTTTTGGGGGAACACAATTTAAACACACTTACATGTGACATAAAGTTAACCTGAAATCAAACCTGATCTTTTTACATTGTTCATGTCCCAGGTCTCATTAAGCATGATTCATAACATATAAAAAAATTAAAAAAACAACATTTCCTGTTTTCTGCACAATGTTCTATCAACATGAAATAACTTTTGCTTTCCTCAAACATTACTTCTGATTTTTGGTCATATTATCATATACCAGTGGCTGGTCAAAGTAATATAAACCAATAATATGTTTCACTATTGCCCTCCCACCACCCTCCACCTACACTGTAAACCTAATAAGCATAAGTTAGCTGACCTCAGTTGCCTTAGGGTTGTAGTACTTAGAGGTTTAGGATAAGATATACATACAGTATTGTGCAAAAGCTCTTGACCACTCTTCATTTATTTAATTTCCAGTCAAAATGGCCATTAAGTACAAGTTATTCATTTTTCAGGAAGAAAGACAATAAAATACAGCTAATGAATTTCAGCACTGGGGCTTACAGTGTATCAACAAATGCTCATATACCCTTCCTGAAACTGTGTTTCACGCAAAAAATATTTCACGGTATGGAAGGATGTTATTCTGATTTTTGATTCACGCTGGCTTTAAGACTCACTGATATTTACAATTTTATTACAAAACCTGGAACAGAATGATTAGTCAATGACAATCATCTGTACGTTCTTTAGTTGTTAGTTCCAAAGACAACTGAAATCTTTGCAGTATTGCTAAAGAAGAAATAGCCAAAGAAGGACTGTATAATTTTACAGATATTCCCAAGTTGTCTGCTGTGTTAGGGCATCCCAGGACAGATTACACATTTTATTGATTTTTAGAAGTGAAAAGAAGAAAACCAAACCTCTGCAGCGTCTGTAAACGTTACTTAATATTTGGTCAATTTAAAAAATAGAAAAAAGAAAGTAGTTGTTTTGGCATGTGCAAAAGTTTGGATGCAGTACTTCGTAATACATTTGGCAGACCTCATAGCTTGCAAGCACTTTTTATTGGCAGCTGGGAGTCTTTCTGTTTTTGTTTTAGGAATTTTTACCCACTCTTCCTTGCAGAATTTTTCTCGTTCTGTGACATTCCAGGGCTGCCTTAAAGTAGTTTATAGAGGATTTTGAAGTATGTTTTGGATTGTAGTTCTGTTGTAATAGCCCCTTTTTTAGTTTCCTGGCTGTTTCCAGTATTTACTGATATTTAGCAAAATCCATCATTTTTTCATCAAATGTTCATGCTTTTTTCCCATACATACTTTCAGTGATTGCGGTCAAATAGTTCCCTTTTACTGTACAGAGTCCACAGTACTTTTCCAAAATGCCTCTGGCCTATCTAGGTGTTGTTTTCCATATTTCAGATGTTGATTTTTGTGATGGGGTTGCAGGTAAGGTTTCCTTCGATGACTCTTCCATGCAGAACATGTTTGTGCAAGCAATGCTGCTCAGTACAGAGTACATTATCACTCCTGTGTCTATATACTACAACAGCATAACAGAATTCCTGAAACTCAGTTAGGCCTTTGGTTCTGGTGTGCCACCCCAAGATTTTCAGTGGCCCCATCTGGCCACCCCTATGAAAAATTTCAGGGGTGCCACAGCTTTTATGTCTTGCCTTGATTTCCATAGTACCTCTTAACTGCCATTTTTAATATTTCGTACATAGGAAATTTTTTATCCTTGGTCACAGGTGCTCAAACATTTTGATACAACTGTGTATTACTGGAATACAGTGTTTCTTTTCAGCAAGTTTTACTTTGCTATTTGATTTGTTTAGGATAGTCTTAATAAGTGTGAGAAGGGCCATCTATGGTGTGTTTTCCGTGGTACCATATCAAGAATTAAGCCAGTTGGGGTATGTATTACTCTTCATAATAAAATTCACATCTTATGCAGTTCACACTGTAAATGAGCCGTTTTTAGTTTTCTGATATGCATGTTTCACAGGCTATGCTGTTTGCTCACATTTTCTAGAAGAGTAAACATAGAATCTGTACATTTTTATTTCTGAATTGTTTAAGTATACAGAGCTAATATAGAGGAATTCTATAAACTATTGCCATGATTATGTGATTTAATATGACTACTCCTACTACTACTTTTTAAAAATGTATTAAAATTTACTTTCTAAACAAATGGCCAATGATTAGTTGGTAATGTGCGTGATGATAATTCGTATTTTAAATTCTGGTCTCTACAGTAAGAAAAAGGGCCTGATGGACACACCAATTTATATGCAATTTTTAACTTGAGTATTTCAAAAGTCTTTATCGTATTCCGATAAAATATTTTTGAAATATTCTTAAAAGTCCCCGCGACCCAGAAGGATAAGCGGCTTAGTGTGTGTGTCCATTTTTTTGACGTTTGAACTCTGACAACTCAATTAATTAATTAATAATAAATAATTGTAATCAATAAATAATTATTGACCTATTGTTTCTTGTGACCACTATAGGGATACAAGACATTTTCACAGTGGCATGGGGACCAGAGATAGTGTCATTGGGCTGGTGGGTGTGGAACTTGGTGCTGAAGGAAAGGTACAATGCATGTAAAAGCTACCAGTACTCAGACCTGGTCACTTCTGAATTATTGAAGAATTGCTGTAATGCTTACCTGCGTACACATTAACTAGTGTTTCAATTTTATTTTAGACAGTGTCCTACACTGAACTGCTATATCCGACTAATGCCTTATGTGGCCACATTTCTAACACGGCATCCAGCACTCGTTCTCCCTGTTCTCAGAGCCCTGTCCGAGGTGTCCATTCTCAGGGCAGCAGGGATAGAGGTCAGTGAAGCAGTTTAACTTGTCAAAGGCTTTGTAACCTGTTTTTGGAACCAACAAGACCAATAAGTGCTGCATGACAGGGACAAAAATACCCTATGGCAGTCGTAGTGCTACATGTTGCAAAAACAATATGCCTTGCAACATAGTAAAAAACACTGCTGAATCTGAATGTGATGTGGATTAGGTCTGGCCTTCATTATTTTTGACCATAATGATTTACACTGGCTCATGTGAAAGGCCTTGACTCATGCCTTTTGATTGGTCAGGATGCTCACAACACAAATCTTTATTGGTTTAAGGGCTGTAGAGGGTGCATATAGCAGAGTCTGTGAATCACCGTCAAGACCAACTAACAAACTTTATATTGTATATTGACCTACTATTATATTAGATTAGAATAAAATAATTAGAATAAAAGACTTTTTGAATTTGTCCCTAACAGCTATTATAATTTGAATAAAATACCTTAAAATGTGTCGTTAACAGCGTGTAGCACTCTAACCCATTTTCCTGTGTGACCCCTCAACTGCAGCTGAGTGTATTTTACTTTTAGCACTCTTATTACACAATTGGCTTAGTTGTCTGCTGCTGTCCAATAATTTTACGCTCCACACAAAGTTTAATTTTGCTCTTTGCTCCCAACTTGCCAGACAGATATGTTACAATCTAGCACACTCTCTCACAAGGTCTTGTATGCTTTTTCCAAAATAAATAATATGAGAAAGTCTCAGCTGTAAATGTAAGTTCCCTGATAAACTTCTCTAAAGCTTAGTCCTCTTAGTACTAGCTTGTAATGCACCATACTGACACCAATTTAACAAAAACCTTTATGTGAAGAGAACAGATGGAAAACTATAAAAGAATTCCAGAAGAAAATGCAGTGATTGCATAAGCAATTTCCAGATGGGTGCTACGATGTAGCCAGATGTCACTATGGTATTTGAGGTGGTTGCTTGGCTTTTGCTAAATGGTTACAAGCACTTTTAATACCATGCAAAACTACCTAGTTTGTAGGGTGTTGCTTTGTGTTTGGTATCTTATTGGGTTGCTAGGTGATTGCAGTGGTGTTCCATGTGATTAATAGGGTGTTGTTAGTTGGTTGCTTTGGTGTCCTGGATGGTTGTTGCTAAGGTATCCCACGTGGTTAATAGGGTGTACATCTGCCATCTGTACAATACTGCATTCAATTAAATTTTTTTCTGCTCACTTACAAAGCCTTTAACAACATGCTCCTTTCTACTTTTCTGATCATCTCCTTCCTTATAAAAATCCATCTGTCTTTTCCGCTCATCTTCAGCTTATTTACTAGCGATTCCTCCATCCAACCTTCATAGTTTTGGCTATCAAGCATTTTTTAGATTTTCTGGCACTCTCTTCCTTCAAAGGTGCAGAAATCTAACTTGCTTTGCAATGCTCAATCACTTATAACAAAAATAAGAGCTAATTAACAAAAGACAACAAAACCAACAAAAAACAAACTGTTTATCTGAATTTATCAAATTTGATAAATAAAAAATAACAATCATATCTGACAATTCACAGTCGGCAATTAAAAAAAATATATATCAGTGAGTAAATGTTAAACTAAAACTATTGGAATCTAATTTTGGACCATATAAAATTATATCAGTTGATAATATCAGTTTATATTGGTAACAAAATGGCCAATCTGAAAGCAAGAGGCTGAAAAACATGCTCTATTGTTAAGTACTGGAATAATAGTGCACTGTTTCCATACATGTGAACGATATATTGTATATATTGTACAATATGTCTTCAAGCAATCTATATCTTAATTGAATACCCCAGATTTTTTCAGCTTAATCTCTACTGCCACATCTCTAGCATATGGTTGATTATTACTAACAATACTTATTCAGAAAAGAACTGAAACACCTGTCCAATGACTTCTATTAAAAGTGTGTTTTGTGTCAACAGTTTTTCTGAGTAATTGACCATAATTGCGGACAGAATTTGGAGTGGAGTGAATGCTATAGTGTTCCTTTAAAGTTTATTGTAAAGTCAAAGATTGTTTTGGTTTAACAACTTTGCCATTTTTTCATATTATTTGAAATTCAGAACTGAGTGCTTTATCATCTTGTCACATTCAGGAACTGAAGCCAGAGACTGTGTGGATTATGACCCTAATCTCTTAGATGATCCCCAGTGGCCTTGTGGAAAACATAAATGTGTGCTTGTCTTCCACTCCTACATGGTGAATGCATACATTTTCTGTCCATCTAAATATTCAAATGGTGATAATTCTCCAGGATTGTGACAAGCATAGAGTTTATGTGTAAACCTAAAGGAAAACACAACTGACTAGAAACTCTTAGTCTACTTACTCGCAGAATAAAAGTGTAATTAGATTAGTTATTAAGTCAAGTTTGTTAGAAATACATTGCCTTTTTAAACACCTGATTGTTACATCAACAGTTACTTGAGTACAATTATACTAAAAAAAGAGTAAGTATTACTTTAGCTAAGATGAATTTGCTGTTCTAGACCACAGTGATAGAGTATGTAAAGCCATCAGACTTAAAGAGAGACATGAACGAAACCTTCAGTGAGAAGTTTCCACATGTTCAGCTAACCCTCAGCAAAATCAGAAGGTACGAACCTTTTTAATTTCTGTTTTTTACACAGTCTCTTCTGAAGGTAGACCAATTCTTTTGTTTTTGCTATACACTGTAGACGTTTAGGTTTGAGATCATAGATGATATATGAGATGATATATCAGAATTCCAGCTTTTATTTCCTGATTTTTACATCTAAAAGAGTTAAACAACTTAGAACATGGCACCTTTGGTGGCATACCACCCAGTTTCTAGGTGAGCAAAAGTAGGTAGTCTAAAAGTAATTCAAAGTAACACCTACTTGTTTAGTTGCATATCCCTTGCTTACACTAACTGCATCAAGTTGATGACCCACTGACAACACCAAAATGTTGCATTCTTCTTTTGTGATGCTTTTCGACACCTTTATAGCAGCTTCTTTCAGTTTGTTTGGGGATTTTCTCTCCTAAATTCTCTCTTTAGGAATTGAAATGCATGCTCAGTTGGGTTAAAGTCTGGTGATTGACCCTTTTTTTCCCCTGATGACGTCCTTTGTTGTGTTGTGGGTCACTTTCCTGCTGCATGATGAAGTTCCTCCTACATTGGCAGATAAAATGTTTCTGTAGTCTCCAATATTCATTCTGCTGCTACCTTCAAGTTACATCATCAATACATATTAGTAATTCCAGAAGCAGCCATGCAAGCCCAAGCCATGACACTACCTCCACCTTGCTTGGCTGATGAGCGCATATGTGTTGGATGAGCAGATCCTTTCTTTTACCACACTTTGGCCTCTCCATCATCTTGGCCTCATCAGTCTATAAAACTCTGTTGCAGAATCGCTGTATTCCTTTGCAAATTCCAATCTGGCTGGCTTCTGGTTCTTATTGCTGATGAGCGGTTTGCATCTTGTGGTATGGCGTGTGTATTCTGCTTCACCCCTGATACCTTTTCATCCCTTCACCCTTGCCCTGTGGAGGTTGTTGGTGATCTCAATGACAGTTTTTTTGGTCTTCATATCTCTCGCAGTGTTTCTGACATCAGCTGCTGTTGTTTAATTTGGCCAACCTGTTAAAAGACCGGTTGTTGGTACGCTAGTGTTTTTTCCTTCTTCAGGACATTCCAAATGGTTGTACTGGCTATGGCTCTAATTTCCCATTTTTCTCAGCTTCAAAATGGTTTGCTTTCCCCCCTTAGACAGCTCTTTGGTCTCCTTGGTGGTTTATCCTTTTTAAACAATAGATGCAGTTGTCACAGGTGAAACTCATGGCTCAAACAAAGAGTAGACATTCAGTTCTGTTAACTGTTTAAACAGTAAATCTAACAGGGCACACCTGGGCAACATAAGTCCATGTTCCAATATTTTTGCAATATTTCAAAATGAGTGGTGCCATGTTCTAAGTTGCTTAACATGAGTAAATATCATGAAAAAACCCTGAAATTCTGATTTATTGCCTCATAGTGGTTATTTGAATAAAACTACTTGATTACAGAGGGCATGAAACTTCAAAAGTCCAGCACTCAACATTTTAATGAAATGTATTCATCCTTCCATTCGTCATTTGTGTTCTTAGTCTGAAGAGAGAGATCAGGAAGCTAGCCCAGGAGGACTGTGGGTATGAGGAGCCCACAGTTGCCATGGCTTTTGTTTACTTTGAGAAGCTAGCGCTGCATGGTAAGATTGATAAGCAGAACCGAAAACTGTGTGCCGGGGCCTGCATCCTGCTTGCAGCCAAGATTGGCAGTGATCTCAGAAGACCTGAAGTCAAGAGTCTGATTGATGTGAGTATTTTCAAATTAGAATATACTTCTAAACAGAAAATCAAGCCTTTGTTGCATTCCTGTTACTCACACTAATTTGCCAGTTTATTAGACACACCTAACTTGCAGCTACACTTATTGGCACTTTATCACGCATAGCTACTATAAAGGTGCAACTGAAATACATAAATAAATAATAAAACATAAAATGTAGCATGTGCAAACATTACAGCACAATTTATATTTTTTTCCCCAATATTTAAAACTCAGCAAATAAAATTGTGCACTCAAATTTGCTGAAAAATCTGAAAATTTACACAGATCAGCCATAACATTAAAACCACCTCCTTGTTTCTATACTTATTGTCCATTTTATCAGCTCCACTTAGCATATAGGTGCACTTTGTATTTCTACAATTACAGACTGTAGTTCATCTATTGCTCTGCATAATTTGTTAGCACCTTTTACCCTGTGCTTCAGTGGTCAGCGCTGGTATGAGTGGATCAGACACAGCAGTGCTGCTGGAATTTTTAAACACTGTGTCCATTCACTGTCCACTCTATTAGACACACCTACCTTGTTGGTCCACCTTGTAGATGTAAAATCAGAGACAAGAGCTCTCCTGATGCTGCACAGTTTGTTAGTCATCATCTCGTCCTTCATCACTAGTCAGACAAAGGCTGCCCACAGGACAATGTTGGCCAGATATTTTTGGTTGGTGGACTATTCTCAGTCCAGCAGTGACTGGACTGAGTGAGGTGTTTAAAAACTCCAGTAGCACTGCTGTGACTGAACCACTTGTACCAGCGCAACACACAAAACCAATATGTAGTTATATATTTACTTGAATTTGAGTAAATGTACATATGACAGATATCTGATTGTGCTGAAAGTCCTAAACATTTATACTTATAAATAAACATTTATACACTATGAAAAAATGAATAACTGATGTTGTACCTTGCAGTTCATTCAAACTTTAAATATTGAGTATACAAGCTCATCAGTATGAAATCTATTATATAAATATAATGAAATGCATAGGAAAACTGTAGTGGTTATTCCACTCATTGTTTTGGTTGAATTTGTTTGCTGTATCAAAAATTCTTGTCTTCCTTTTTAGAGGTTGGAGGAGAAATTTCGGCTGAACCGGAAGGATCTTCTGGCATTCGAGTTTCCAGTGCTTGTAGCCTTGGAATTTAAACTGCATCTGCCCCATCACGAAATTCTACCACACTACAGACGCCTCCTGCTCACCTCTTATAACCAGAAGAGCCAGTAAACCACAAGACTTAGAAGAGGTTGCCCAAGACCACTTTTTCTTCTCTGATACTGTCACTTATCCAATGTTTTTGCAAAACAGCTAAGCCTTAAAGTGGGCATTTTGTAATTTTAGCACTTAAACCGGCCATGTAAAAGTATATAAAAGTATGCTCAAACTACTCAAAACACATTCTAATACTCTACAAGAAAAATACATACAGGCAAAACTTTGAATACATCTGTTCAAATTACGTTTTGTTGATTTTCTAAGTGAAAATAAGTTAACGTCCTCTACAGAGAATACACTTCAATGTGGCATTTTTCTGCAAATTGAAGTGCAAAATTTCTATTTATTTTCTGAGTTTAATATATTGGTAAAAAATAAAACACAAAGTATAACATGTGGAATAACTTTCACACAGGCCACATTTCATGTTTTTGTTTCCCCCCAAATAAACAGTAATTGTTCAATAAATAGTATTAAGAAGTGTGTTCTGTAAAGGATGTGTTAACTTATTTTTCATGTAGGAAATTACCATGAAATTAATATGATTTATACAAAACTGCAACTTTTATTAGATTAAATGATTACACAAAAAAACCCAAAAAGTTCAGTTACCATGCAAAACTAGACTACTGAAAATGAAAGAGGTGTAATTTTAGCATTCTAGTACTTAGCTAGCTATTTCTTTTGTTGGCCATGTTAGGACATGTGACTACTGTTATTACAACATGTGCCACAACATAACCTAAAGTATGTGCTGTGTTGTGCTGTGTCATCTGTGGTTTGTCGTTGGTCTTTTGCTTCCATTTAATATCTGTTGTTTGCCCCAAAATGTATGGTTAATATGTTTTTCACATGTTGTGTGAATTTTGAATAATTTTGAATGAATAGTGGCTAGCACCTATTGTACCTCACCTGCCATGATAATCAGTTTTGAAGATGTTAGATAAAGATGTAATATCAAAACACAGGAATCTGAACTAATATATGCTGTGTGGAAGGTTATGATCATAAATTAAAGTTGTCCAGGTGATCATTAACTGTAATGCGGTGTGGTTCCAAAAAGGGGAAGAATACCTTACACTAGCTATCCTATGCATTTAAATACAATGGACACATAACTACAAGGGCCATTGTCTAGGAGAGTTTGATGATTTCCCTCCTAAAACACACCCCCTAAAACTGGCTATTGACTATTAGTTGAATTAGGTTTGTTTAAGCAAGGAAGTCACTAAACTGTTGGAACACCAGCCCTCCAAGACTGGAGCTAAATACCACGGTCTATGATATTAACCAGCGAAAAAGGGTTGGAAATGATACTTATTCAATTTTCCCTTTACTTCAAATGTCATGGTTTATCTAGTCCACTTGATAGCTAACAGTATGCTATACAGTGTCTGAAACCGCATCAGCAAATCTACCAGATGGCAAGTCTGATCAGCAGTGGTGGTTCTTTTCCGTTATTGTACAGGGTAGACAGAGACTGATGAATTGTGCAGCAACACAATATTATTAAGTTTGCAGTGTATCTGCATATTTATTTTATCTTTCAGTTAACCATTATCTAATTCACTGTATATTGCAAGCGCACCAAGATCCACTGTGTATAATGATTTTTATTTATTTTATTTATTCAGTTCCTTATTTTATTTATGTATTCAGTTCCTTTCAGAGAAAAGGTCACTTGGAAACAACCGTATTTTGGTAAATCAAGAAACAGAAATAACCAAACAAGGTGCAACATGGCAAAACTGACAAAACCTTTTTACAGAACTCTCTGAACATTCCTTTCATTGAGCATAAAAGATTTAACCAAAAACCATACAAAATTGTATGTAGCCTCTGAAAGGACGTGCTTTCATGCGCTCACCATACACTGTCAGGTGAGCACCAGATATAATCAGATAAGCACCAGATACTCTTTGGTTATCACCAGGTACTATTTAGTGTGTACTAAATCTGATGCTCACTAGATGAAATCTGGTACGCACTTGATAATATCTAGTGAGCACATGACAGTATGTGGTGCACACCAGATTTTTACCTAAAAAGTACCCCTTGTCCTTCCAGAGGCTCTGTAAACTGAAATCATATTACCATGAATAATGCACTCAGCAGGCATAGAGTGTAATATTTAACACAGCTGTGATTACATGGTGTAAAGCAGCAACCAGGAAGTACGGAAAGTGATGGGGGGTATACAACAAAGCTATTCAAAGATACACACCACAGTGTGATGAAAGTAAGCTTAATCAGTAACTTCAGTTCTACTCGGTGCTGCCAATTGAGACTGAAGTTAGCCTACTAACTGCAAAATCTAGCTTTGTACTATAACACTTGATTTTGGTACTTTAACAAGAGAATGCATTTAAACAATCTGTATATTTATTGCACTTAGTATTGGGCTCAAAGGCACTTCACCAGCAATTCTTATTACAGTAAAAAAATGAAAAAAATAAATATATAATGTGATCTAACATTTTAAACATAAGTACATATGTAAACACAAACCTTTGAAAATGCCTTTCATTGATATGTTGCATTCTCTTCTAAATTGTCATAATGCAGAGCAGATTGTTGAGCATATTTCAATTGGATGGTGATGAAAATGCTAAATCTTGCACCTATGTAACAGGTGGCTAGCTCATAGAAAACAGTAGAAAGGAAGGAAACCTTTTCCTTAATACTTGATTATAAAATTCTCTGTATGTACTACCAACCATTTTTTCCCCACTTATCTCTCCTGAATTCTGTCAGAATGTATTGATAATGCTTCCCCAGCATGATTTGTAAGGATGCTGTAAAAAGAAAAGAAAAACATTTTGAAGTGTGTAACTTATTCTGTGGATAAATGACACTCTCCTTTACTTTTAGTTCACTGCTCCACCAAAGATCAATGAAATGGTTACTTTATAACGTGATAAAGCGAGATCCACTCACCAGTATACTGTTAGGGGACTGAGGTCTGTACTAAATATGAAAATGGACAGTCCAGAGGCCAGTATCTGTATGTGGGATTAAAAATAGGTGAATAATAATATTTTTTCCCCAAAGTGTGATTGTAAGTCTGTCATTAAAAGAGAAGGTGGTTACATTCTTTCAATAGAATGAAAGGCATGCAGTCATGTTGGCTGTAGCATTTGAAGTAGCTGCAATCATGCTTATAGAAATTCTACTGAGAAAACAATATTCCAGTATAAAGCGAACGTCATTGGCTTCTTGCACAAAATAAATGTCATCAGAAGACCCCTTCATTTATATATAACATACAATATGTTAGTTTTAACAATAAAGCTCTGCTTTAGAGACAAGAAACGCTAAAATAAAAGCTGAATTTGGTTGTCGTTCGATCTGTTTAGGCACATTACTGATATGTGATTATTTGATGAAACCACAAAGTATCAGTCTGAATGAGAATGGAGTCAAATTTATACTGAAATGTTCAGGTTTCATGAGATTTTTTGTTTTTTGTAACTCCAAGAAATACACTGGATATTTAAAAATTCAGAAATCTATTTTCAACTTATACATTTCTAAATTAGGGAGCAGGAAAGGAGGGAGACAGGTATGGTTTTATAAATCTTGAAGGTTCATCTAACCTTAGCCAGTAAGACCCAGATGGCACACTGTACCAAAGATTGGCCACTCTTCAACTTTACTGATGCCAGCAGCAGGAGAAAGCCAAATACAGCACTATGGGTGAGAATGTGTTTATCAGCACAGCAAAAGACATTCAGTGAGAATCGATATATAAGGTATGTTGCAATTCAAAAACAAGACCAAATCCTTCATGTCAACATGCACCAACATTCAGGGGTAATATTAATGCTGCACTATGTAAGATTTGTTTTGCTGAAACCAAAACAAGCAGCATTACTGTATCAGAAAACAAAAACTCTTAAATATGGTGTCCATGCACTGCTGCATGTCACCCTGTAAAGCCTGAAATAATCATTTAAAAGTGTGAGGTCGGATATGTCTTTATGTATTAACATCACACCAAGAGGCTCAAAAAGAAGGTCTGACTTAATGTTTAGATTTCAACCGGCAAATCAACATTATACTGATGACAATTTGATGACAATAGTAGATCATTCACTCACATCCTTGGAAGAAACGTTGTTTTCTTCTTTTACACATTTCCAGAAATCCCCAAATCTTACACAGTGTATCTTTAACTAATAATATCATTTAACATTTAACACCCCTTCCTATCACTGACTGTAAACGCTAAGCTAGTGCAAAGACCCTTCGATGAGCTGTTATCAGCTGAATCCTTTGGGTTATGGGGGGAGCTCTTACCTGGCAAAACATCCACCATGAAATTTATAGGACATGAGAAAGGGGAATTCCAAGGCACCAAAGAGATCACCTACGATAAAATAACAAACAAAAAATAAGAAATTGTTAACATCAGCATATATTAATCATAACCACAACTGACAATTCCTCTTCTTATTTACACCAATCTTCATTTAAATTTACTTTTGCACTTCCATTCAAAAGTGTGGTTTGAGCATACCCTTAACTTAAAAGTGCTCTCACGTCCCCTGACATAATATCATTCATAATATAATATCAACATACTATGTCAAACTGAGGACTCTGAAGAGTGTTGGTGGATTACCTGTTGGATGGGCAGCTGAAGCTAACAGGAATATGCTAAAAGGACATGAATTTAACAAGTTGTAAAATGATTAACAAATATATAAGCCAATAACCAATACAACCCAGTCAATTTACCTGACCAAGTAGTTGATTAACTGCTGTTCAAAATCACTGTAATAAAAAAGATGAAGGTGATGAGGATCAAGATTCATAGTATACTCTGGTTAGACAGCAAATAAATGGCAAAAACATGACATTTATTTAGCATTATATTATATAATCTTTATTTACCCTATTAAAAACAACCTAGTCCAAACAAATATGCCTCTATTAGCAGTAGTAATTTGTTTGTAGCTATACAAATTCTGTAATGCTCTCAAAACCAACCTTAGTAGACCAGACTTTGAATTCTTTTGGAACACTCTGTATGACCCTAAAAGAAAATGAACAAAACAAGAGCATACTATTACTGTACCCTAATTCAAACAACAGCTTTTTATAAGAAGGTTCCTATGTAAAATATTATATATTATAAATTAAATATTATATATATATTTAATTTATATATTAAATATTATATATACTTAACTTGCTTGCTTGCTATGTGCCCATTTTACAAAAAGTAGACAAAAGTAATATAATTTCTTTCTTTGCTTAGATGGAGAAAATGAATTACTCAACATATTTCCAATCCAAATAAGAGGATATACACTAATTTTGGTGTATATACCATGATTTCTGTTTAGGAAGGGTAGCTTAAATAGGTTAAATAGTTTAGTGATTATTTTTTTGTTTTAGCAACCAGTGTATTAATGACAGTTGAATTAAACATAGAAAGGGCAGGGCAAGTCAAATGTTTATTTTATGACATTATAAACTGATTTAGAACAGAAATCAAACAGTATTTATATGACTTATTAGTAATTATAGTAATTAGTAAGAGAATAACAAAAAATCATTAGCGATCATTTCAATATTTCAACTTTATGCATTACAAAATCATATTGTTATGCTGTTGCAAATAATGATAGCTATGAAACGGCGATGTTGTAAATGATAAAGCATGGCAATTTTATTAAGGGCATCTGAAAACTTTTAAATAGCTCATATAAAACCATGATGTAGGCAGAAATACATTTTTGGGTAGGATTATGAAAAAATGGGTGGGCTAACTTCCAAACCTGCATGCCCCACTATGCCATAACATCAGGCTACAGCCTATGCCAAGGCTTCCGCCCTATGGCGATACAAAACAATAGCAAGGCTATTCAACCAGAATGCAGTATTCACATAAACACAACCAACAGTACCCTTTACTAGAGAGCATGCAGTCTGCTCACCCAATGAAGATGAAGTAACTGAGTTAAAACTAGACAGCTGAGATGCACAAATACAAGGAAGAACAACACAGCAAACTTAAAAACCAAAACCTGATCATCCTAGGCTAAAACATACTGCTACGGCAGGCATGGAAAATGTTTACAGACCATTTATACCTTACCTTTGACATAGCCAATTTTAGCTTTTGTAGTAAAAACATCATAATTACCAAATTGCAGACCACTGATGACTTTTTAGTTTGTTTGTATGTTTTTGGCAGAGAGTGTAATTGTGATTTTTGTCATAATACAATGACAGCACTCACAGAAAATGAATCAAATTTCATTATCTTACAAAAAGCCGCTTAATAAACAATCTGTCCCCAATCTAGGTAGGCCCAGGACCGTGGTTACACCCCTGATATAAAAAAGACCTGAATACCCAAAATTATTATAATTTATTTTACCGTAAAAAAATTATGTTATCAGAAAAAGAGGTGGGTAGCTAACAATCATTCATAATAAATATTCTGTACGTGATTTAAGTAATCTAATCTATGAAATATTTATGAAATATTTCCTGAAATATTTCCTCCCACATAACATAAAATGGACTTACCAATACAGAAAAAGTGGATGGAGGCCCATATATAGCCATTTGGTCCAAACTGAAAGGGAGCAGCATAGAGTTTTTACAAATGGAGGTCATGCTGACCAAAAGTACCTTCACTATTTTGATATACAGACATACGTTTTGATATATGTCAGGATGACTGACAACATACAGTGCTGTGCAAAAGTATTTATCAGTTAATTTGATTTGGCCAGTAAAACACTTTATTTAATGAAACATAAACAAAAAAACAAAAATATAATTGAAAATCTGACAGTAACTGTTTCATATTTTTATTTATTACACCAATTATAGCAGCTCTTCATGGAACAGTGTGTAGGACAAACAATTTACTACCTAGTTATCTGGTATTACGTTTCATGTGAAGATATGATTAGATTCATTATCATTCACTAAAATATATGAAAAATATCCCATAATGCAGAAAGTCAGGGGTTGCAAAGAAGTAGCCAAGAGATTTTACCTGGGGATTGTGCAGCATGAGGATAAAAGCTGACATCAGCATCAATGTTTGGCTAGAAACAATCAGAAAAATCACTTAGACAATGAACAATACAACAATATTTTAGTGGAAATGCATATCAAAAAGCATATTGCTGTTGCTGGAAGAAAACCTCATATCTCCAAAAAGGTAACTTTACAGGAAAAGGAAAAAATATACTTTACTTTTAATGTAATCAATTGAACAAGACATTTTTCCAAGTCATTTTGGGCTGTTTCATCATCGTCCATTCTTCATGAAATTTACACACAATGTAAAGGGCAACAGACATTTCCAAAATATGTGAAAGAAGACAAAAATGGAGATACGAGGTTTTCTTCCAACAGAAGCGACACAGAAATATGCAATTAAACTTGAAAATACATATGTTTGGTAGATATCATAAATTAACAAATGGTTTAATTTAATATTTCTTTAAAATTTCATTGTTTAATTGTTGGTCTATGGGCATCATAACAACATATTCATTAACAAAAAATAAATGAACAAATCGATGTAGGTTGAAAACTTAATCCATTTGACTCATCAAAATATGGTAAATATTACCAGTTACAAATGTCGCATTTCCACTCATGAGTGATAAAGGGTTATCCCAGATAATAAAAAAATGACATCTAACATGAGATACAATAAAACAAAATGTCTTGAAAACATACCTGAATATTTTTATCCATGATGATCTCTTCATATAAGCCATGCAAAAAAACAAAAGAAAATGACTTGTAGGTTATCCAGGCAGTAATGCATATCACATTATCAATTCTTAGACCCAGAACCAGTCTGCTACGAATATTTTTCATTTGATAATTATTCTACTGTTTCCATGGTATTCTGTAAATTCCACTTTTCTGATCCCTTAGATGATTAGTCTGGTAAAGTGATGTTTTTATGATATTCTTCAAAAATAGTCAAGGAGTACAGAGTTAGCCTTCATCGATTTTTTGAAATCATTACTTTAAATAATACATTCTATACTAATGTGTAATCACTGCATTCCCCATTTCTCAGTTAGATGTAGGTTATATTTTTGCTACTTTCTGCAATAGTTCTATGTAAGTTTATGCATTGCTTCTTTGTAAGCGTTTTATAAGTAGTGTTCATGTATACCTCTTTTTGGGTGACTCTATTGATGATGAAGAAGACCACTTCTGACACATTTTGTAGCACAAAAAAGACGGGGATCGGCTAGCCAGTACAAAAACAGAAAGATCCGTAAATAACACGGCCCAAGATCAAAGTCAGTGTTCTATTTTTTACCATTATTCGTACAGTATTCCATTTCAGATCAACTCAATTTATTTGTATAGCCCTTTTCACAACAGACATTCTCACAAAGCAGCTTTAGGGTGACATTGTCGAGAAAAACAAGCATAAGAAAGAAACACAGAAGAATCAAGACTTGGAGGGGAATTCCGCTGATTTTTCAAAACTTCTGCATAATTAAATTTTTAAGATGTAAATAAAGTCATTCAGAGCAGTTTGGTACAAAACTCTCCATTCTAGAGAAACTTGTTGAACCAGAATTGTTCACAGCGGTGGTGACAGGAATCAGACATCCACCTCTAAAAGCTCCCTAACAGAAAGTTGTTACATGAAATGGTTACGAATATGCTGCCTGATGTCTTTAATGGTTTTCCTATAAGCACTATTTTACCATCATCAACACTACATATAAAAACTCAGAAGAAACGTGTAGGTTCACTGGTGGTTTTGGATTGTAACAGAAATGGCTATATTTGTGTAGACATTATGACTCCTGGTTCCTATCACCACCAGTGTACATAATCTACAATGAATGATTTCACATCAAAACGCTCTGAAAGACTTTGTTTACATCTCAACCACTGAATTACTGAGAAAATTTGATCAACTGGAATTTGATAAAGTAGAATTCCACTTTAAAAGTATAAACTCAAACTAAAAAAAGCATGAGAAAAACTGTGATGCATCGATTGATCTCAACATTTCAGTTTCAAGAGTCTCCTCTGCCTGTAGGTTAAGGATAGGAACAGCCTCTCAGTCAGAAAAATGTGGCTTAATTGCTTCCACTATACACACTGAAAACATGATCAGATAGTGTGCTGGATGCGTATTAAATAAAGGAATCCACCATGGATATGCAAACTGATACATTTGTAGTACAGGCCCGGTTATACTTCTACATCTGCATATCTGTGAACATGTCTGCCAGCATATATGCACGTAACATGAATGTTAAACCAGAATGTTAGACCAGAATGTACAAGAAACTGGATAGCCAATCAAGCATTTAGAAGTGTGCATGTTGTTGCCTCTGCAAGCTGCTGTTAACCATGACTGCCAACCAGGCAAACCATGACAGTTAGAGTTAGGCCTTCAGTTTGGGCCATTAATGTCAGAAAAAGAAAAAAAAACACCTCTATGATAATGTCAACTTCTATCACAAACCCCATTTAAAAAAAGTTAGGGCAGTGGGTAAAATGCAAATAACAACAGAAAGCAGTGATTCATAAATCTATTTTGACCTGTTTTTAAACAAAAGCAATACAAAGCCATGCTATGTTTTACCTGTGTTTACCTGTTTAACTTCACTGTTTTTACTAACTATACGCGCATTCTAAAATTAATGTCTGCAACACATTTTAAAAAGTCGTTACAAGAGCAATTTCAGACTAGAAACATTGTGAAATGTTCAAAAAACATCTTAAACAGGTGATGCAATCATGCTTGGAAATAAAAGGAGCATCCGAGAACGGTCTAGTCCTTTATGAGTGAGGATTACCACTTTGCCAAAACTACCTCAAAAAACCCTAAAGTTTAAAAATAATCTTCCTCAACCAGGGATTGCAAGGATTTTAGGTATTTCACCCTCTATAATGCATAGTATCATCAAATGTTCAGGGAATCTACAGAAATCTTTAATCTGCATTAAAAGCGAGGCCAAAAACCACAACAAATATCCCACAGCCTTCAATCCTTCAGGCTGCTCGGCATCCTTCTTTGAGGAATATCACCTTGTGGGCTTGAGGACACTTTGACAAACCATCAATAAACTCTGTTTGTCACTTCATCTACAAATGCACATTAAGACTGTACTATACTCAGCAGAGGCCATGAGTCAACAACATCCAGAAACACTGCCAACTTCTTTGGGCTCAAGCTCATCTGAAATGGACTGATGCACAGTAGAAACGTGTATTGTGGTCTGACGAGCCCACTTTTCAGATTGTTTAAAGAAATAATGGACGTCGTGTTCTCTGTGCCAAAGAAGGAAAAGACCATCCAGATTGTTGCCAGCGTAACATTCGAAAGCAAGAGTCTGTCATGTTATTTGGGAGTATTAGTGGGAAACTTGCACATCTGTGAAAGCACCTTTAACACTGAACACATTTTGGAGCAACATATTCTTACATAACCTTTACATAACATAACATTTAGATGATGTCTTTTTCAGGGACATCCACGCTTTTTTTCAGCATGACACCAAGCCACATTCTTTATGTGCTACAACAGCATGCCATAATCAGAAAGTGTGGGTGTTAGACTGGCCTTCCTGCAGTCCAGACTCGTCTTTCATTGAAAACATGTGCAAAACACAACAATGAATGCCCTGTACAATTGCGAAGCTAAAGACTTGTATAACAGAAGAACGGCCAAAAATTCCACTTTCAAAACTAGATCAATTTGTGTCATCGGTCCCCAAATGATTTTTAAATGTTATTTAAATTAAAGCTGATGTAACACAATGGTCAACATGCTCTTGTCTCAACATTTTTGGAATGTGTTGCTGGCATCATCTTTGGAATATGCATGTATTTACAAAAAATGTCATAAGGTAAAACATCAAATGTTGTGTTTTTGTATATTTTTCAATTTAATTCAGGCCAAACAGAATTTAACGTCGCTGCTTTCTGCTTTTATTAACATTTCACACCCTGTCGCAACTTTGCGACAGGGTGTGGTTTGAAAGTCCAGCTCTGTCCTGGGATGTCCTCTTGACCCAGTGGAGGTGGTGGGGGACAGGAGAATGAGGACTAAGCTAACAAACATGCTGAAGAACCTGTCCCACCCCATGCACCGCTCTCTGACAGCACTGAGCAGCTCCTTCAGTGCCCGGCTGCGGCACCCGCGGTGCGTGAAGGAGAGATACTCACTACAATACATACATCTCTACATTTCTAAATTTAAATTTAATACTTTGTATATTTTTCTTATAATCTTTGTACATATACATATATATCTTTATACTTTTATTGTTTATTCTATTTAAATATTGTTTGTATATTTCCTGCTACTCTGTCTTCTGTGCTGCTGTAACACCGCAAATTTCCCCGTTGTGGGATTAATAAAGGATTATCTTATCTTATCTTTTTCGGAATTGGGTTTTTAGTATGTTAGCGCTTAGCTAATGCTCGTGCATATTTTTTGGCCATTTAAGATTATACACATGCATTGAAAACTTGTTTCTTATTTGAAGCTTGTAACATACAATAACACATTTTACATTGCGTATTGAAGTCTAACAGTGCAAAACTCAAAATTACAGACGTTTGACTTCCCAGACATCATTAAGCTTACTCTGAAAGCTTAGAAAGTCCTGAGCGTTCCCCACTGGTCACACATATACAGGATGTTGAATATGAGAACACAGTAGCTACTGAGTTCAGTGTAAGTGTAAGGAAGTATTATAGTTTTCAGAAACTAATAAGGAATTCATGAAGAGATTTGCAGTCATGATGATTATTACAATAATCAGGGAGATGATAATTACAGGGAGATGTACAAAATTACAGTAAATTCAGACATACCAGGATGGACAAGGCTTTGGATCCAGCATAAATGTTCCCTAAGAAAAAGACCGACCCAGGGAGCCAGAGCAGAGCTGCAGATCTAGACAAAGAGCAAACACATAAGATGTTTAAATGCTGTGTATTTTTATACATTGTTATTTTAAAAAGAGACCATAAATACCTGCTGCAATTAAGAATCACTTTTGAACTATCAATATTGCTGATTCTGACATTTCTCTTTGAAAATTAGTCCACCCATAAAATACTGATGTTAAGTGTTGTCTTTAACCAACCATTTTACAGTTTTTTGCAAATGTTGACAAGAGTTTTAGGTACTGAGTTCTTTTTTCAAGTACTCACACAGTTAGGACAACACACAGAGCCTCTAAGGGGCCATGTTTAAAAAAAAACAAAAAACATGCATTTCCTCACAATAATTTTGCATTCCCTTGAAAACATTTTGCGTTCCCTCGCAATACTTTTGCAATCCCTTGTATGCAATGGATGTAAAAACTTGGCGAGGGAATGCATAAGTATTGCAGGGAACGCAGTGCTGTTGCAAACTTTTACACTTAACCCTAAAACACACAAACATTATCCAGGTTTAGACTGATAGGCCTAATTTTAGACATTTTTATCATTTATTAATAGTGATAGTGATTATTAGCTGAAGGCTTAGACTGGACAACTTAGTTAAAACTAAGGAGTGAACCTTTTAATATATTTGTACTAATGTCCCCTTTTATAAGCACAACAAATCTTTTTATATTATTCGTATTCATATTGACAATTAGAGCTTTTGCCAATCCCCATGTCTAGCTGCAGTAGCAAAGAGGTGCTTGAAGGAAAATTCCACCAATTTGTGAAAATTTCTGCAAGTAATTCAGTGTGGTTTGGTGTGAAATGCTCCGTTCTAGAGAAACTTACCCAGTCAGAATTATACACTGTGGTGGTGATAGGAGCCAAATGTCTGAAGAGTTTAATGCCTTTAAAAGCTCCCTCAGAAAGTTATTACATGAAATGGTTATAAATACACTGCCCTAATGTCTGAGACATTGCTTTGCGATAGTTTTGTGATAAATTTTAGTCTAAAACATATTTTATTTTTATCCATTCACGGGAGAGGGGTACATGTAGGGTGGCAAAGCTGTCCCCATAGAAAAGTTGTTTTTGTCAGATTTACCACAAATTTACCAACATCAACATTACATATAAAACTCAGAAGACATGTGTAGGTTCGCTAGAGGCTTTGGATCGTAAATAAAACGGCTGTACTTCTGTTGTAGACATTGACTCCTGGTTCCTATCACCACCACCGTAAAGAAATCAGTTAGTTCCTCTACAATGAAACATTTCACACCAAACCACTCTGAATGACGTTGTTTACATCTCAACCACTGAACTTTGCAGAAATTTTGAAAAATCTGTAGAGTTTTCCATTAATGCATGTATGTCTAAATAGTTTCAGATTATGCTTTTACCTGGAAAAACCGTTTATCTCCACCCATCCCAACTTCCCAGTCACCAAAAGCAAAAGCGCTCCAGTGCAGGTCTGCCACCTGGTGGTCAGAGAATGGCATATCATTTACCCGCTGAACTGTTAAAAATAACCGATGGACAAATGACACAGTGATGCTTGTGAACAATAGAAGTAATGTGAGTCACACTTACCCCAGAAAAAGGGTGGGATATGTAAACTTCAAGACAGACAGGACATACTAAGGAAAAAAAGAGATAACCTACTGGTTTTGCGCTAAAGTCAAGCTCAAATAACGAACCCACATTAGTGACCATACGAACGATGAAAACAAGTCAAAATCAATTTTTGGAAGGCAGAATATGTCGACGAAGAATTATAAACACAAAACTGAGCATGCCTAATAATAGTACTTTTCAAACCACTACACTAAGCGAAGCAATCATGAGAAAAAAGTGATTTTATTCACCTTGTTTGTGAAATAGGATATTATGAAGAGGATGCAGAAAACAAATCCAGGACTAGATCGTGCCAAAATCATCTGTCAAAAAGCCAATGTAATCTGTAGATCATAGATTCAATATCATGCATCAAATATGTGGTATGCTAGCCCCTGAAAAACTTTGCTTACATTCTACTTCCTAGGTTCCCAGAGAGCTGTGACACGTTGCTGCGTATTCAAACCATAGAAATCCTGATGGCAAGACTTTAACGGATTGATGCAAACACTGATTCTTTGAACAGCATTAATTGATGACTACATGTAGAAAAAATCACAAAGTAAAAATTTAGTTTAAATCTATTTAATACATAGAATTATAACGTTTGTGTTGTTACAAAAATACATCGAACATTTAATAAGATAAAAAAAAACACTTCAAAGACTTTTACTTTGAAAAGTATTCCTTGCGTCACCCGAAAGACTACCGATAGCAGGACTGACGTGACTTGACATTAAATTTGTTAGTCGGTAACAAACCTCGTTCGTACCGTTGTAATATCTATTTTAATCCGTTTTACTAGACCAGGTATAGAGATCTATAGGCCCTGTCGTGACATAGCTAACATATTTCTGTAGGTGGTTTGGTAACGTGTCATAACTTGTTTTTGTGAGGTTTGACTAGAGTTTTCTTTGTAACCTAGCTCGCTAGCTAACGTTACTGTTTTTAGAAACAGGCCTGCTGAAGGAGTGAAATATCAAAGGTTCTGCTTTTCAGATCTTTATTCGACGTTCCTGAAGCTAACGTTACATCTTTCGCTGTTGAGTTGTTTGTAAACTGTCACTATGGACCAAATAGACGTATCCACAAAAGAAATAAAGGTGAGTAATCGGTGGTGTGAACCGTGCGTTTAGTAAGCTACCTATTAGTCGGATAACTGAAGTACTGGGAGCCTTTCAGCATTAGTCAGCCACCCCACTAAATGGCTGTTAAAGGGAGAGGCCCGAGCAGAGGCCTTTAGCACGTTAATAAATGTAGCTAACCACTTGATTAACTCTAAGTTAGCAGATACTAAATAAGAATCGGCTTCGTGTTTAAAAGTCAACAAGTCATTTTAATAGTAATAGACACTGTTACTTAGTATCTAGTTAACGTATATTTATAATAGCACATTGGTCTTCTGAAATTTAAAATCATAAAACTGAACTGGTAAACTCTGGTTGACTTTGAACCGCAGTTCAGGAATAGCTATGACGTCAACACAAATATTCACGAGTAGTTAGTGTGATAATTACAAGAATCAGACAGCAATTTTTTTTATATATTGTGTTCAGGGGAAGAATTATACTGTACTGTATGGACTACGTTTTGTCTAAGACCAACAGATTTGAATATTCTATTTATATCAGGCTTCAACTTTGCCTCATTTTGCCTTCGGTTGGGTCAGGGACTTTCCCCATTTCTCATGTGTTATTACTCAGCATTTATATATTTAAAAAAAAGAAAGTCTATTTCAGCACGAATTTGTTTAGATAGATAAATGTAATTTCAACCTAAAATTTCATATATATATATATATATATATATATATATATATATATGTATGTGTGTGTGTGTGTGTGTGTGTGTGTACATATACACGCACACACACACACACACACACACACACAAGTATATACACATGCATATCTGTTCTATTTAAATATACACAATTATAAATATACAACTGTTGTATATACTTAAATAACATCTTTATGAGAACTACATTGTTGACAGTTATGTAGTGGATTATCAACCCATATTTCTTTACTTTTAACTTCGAGGTAAACCTTTGAAACCGTCAAGATAATTTAGTATATGTCATGTGATGGAATTACATTGTATTTATCATACCACTTACCTTACTGGCATCCTCTTAAATCTGTGATGCCACTAGCTTGGGCTAAAGGAAACAGATACAGGAAACAATTATCATGATAGATGTAAATATTTTAGTAAAATAACTCTATTATATAAAGATTACAATAATTAAAAAGAAAACCCCATTGAATCAGTACATGGCATTAGTTATGAGTATTGTTGTTGTAAATTGGTTGTTGGTAAATTGGTAAATGCCTCTGTAATAGATGACTTTCTAATATCCTCGCTAGCACTTGTGGCATGAATAAGAAAATAAATTAGTAGTGTTTTCTTTGTATTTTGATATTACTCTGTGGCAGAGAAGTTGTTAACTGTCATTCATTACTACCTTTCTTGGTTATTAATTTTTTTCCTGCTTACATTCTTTATCCTTTGCTGTCCAATCAAAGCATCAAATATTTTATGATCAGTCACCTTAATTAGGTCATTGTCTTTGTATTTTGCTAAGCTCTCTTGTCACCCCATGTATTGCCTCCTACTTGATGTGTATGTAATTTCACCCCACACAGTCCTTGCAAAATATGTACATATAAATAGGTGTTCCATTTGTATGTGATCCTTTCTTTAATTTCAGAGTCCTTGGGGGACTCAGAATGTGATGGCGCCCCCTTGTTCCTTGGCAGATGTAATGAGTGAACAGCTGGCCAAGCAACTGCATGAGGAATTCACCTCCTTCTCCAGCTGCTCCGAGTAAGACCCACTGGCCTTTCATCTGTCTTTTTAGTTCTTTTCTACTGTTTTAGGAGTGACTGTCCTTACATTTATATTTTTATGTAAAACGTGTGTGGCATGTATGTGACTACCTTCAACAGCACATTGTGATGTAGGTCAAAACAGAACCGGTGATGTTATAATAGTTAGATGGACAAATGTAATCTACAGTAATTAGAATTTTAACTTTATATGTTTAGACAAGGCCTGAGTGGTTGAGGTATTCTGATATGTGTATTTTATTTGTTTTGTTTTCGTTAATTTTACTTTTAGTGTGGGCCTAGATCTGGTTGATGTACCACAGGACACTGATACATCCAGTGATCTGATGCTTGCGCAGATGCTTCAGATGGAGTTTGACAGGGAGTTTGACACACAGTTACGCCGAGAAGAAAAAAAATTCAATGGCGAGAGCAAAGGTAAATATTTGCTGAATCAGTGACTGGTTAATGCTAAGGGTACCTTGATTAACAACTGTTTTATAGGAGGACAGATGTTAATCAAAAGCACAAGCTTGTCCTGTAGTCCTGTAATTCTGTTGGAAGTACAGAGTATCAAAGTTTCTCCCATTTTCACTGATGGTACTGCAAAGACAACTCACATTTAAAAAAAAAAAACATTGACTTTACATTGCACTCTATGTTGAGTAGGTAGAAACTTACAAATTATTATTCTCATTTACAGTGTCCATTTCCTTTGAGAACTATCGTATGGTTCATCCATTTGAGGATAGCGACAGCTCTGAAGATGAAGTAGACTGGCAAGACACACGCCATGACCCCTATCGCCTTGGTGAGCAGTGTTTGTTCAAAAGTGAATTTTGAACTTTTATTGTGTTGATTTGCACACTACTGTAGTCACTGTGGAAATATTACTGAAATCACAGCATGACTAACACTGTGATCATTTTGATTGGACCACTATTGTTAAGTGTCTGTTTTACTTCTTCTGTATCTAAGATAGAGAGAGTGTAAAAGGTTAAATAACATTGTCACTTTTGGCAAACAAAAAATGGCATTTGCATTTTGTCTTTGTAACAGAAAAGCCAACTACTACACCAAAGAAGGGATTTACAGGGAAAGGCAAGAACATCACCACCAAACATGATGAAGATGTCTGTGGACGGAAAAATACTGCACGCATGGACAATGTAAGCCATGTCTCAACTATCTTTTGAAGATATACTAATTAGATTATAGATGTATAGATAGTGGACATCATAGAACACATGTATTGTTACAAGAACAATTAATTTTGGCATATTGGGCAATAGTTTTGACAAATCATCATTTTAAATACTCTATTCAAATGGCTTTCACCCATCAGTGTATTTATGTACATTTATGTAAGTACATTGAATTTTAATATACGCTTGCCACTAGTTTTGCTGACTCTCTTTTCCATCTCTCCTTCTTAAATACCTCCTAATTGTTTCATCCATGTGCCACAGTTTGCTCCAGAGGTGCATGTAGGTGATGGGATTAGCATGGACTTAAAGCTGTCAAACCATGTGTACAATGCTCTGAAACGGCACTGTCAGACAGAGCAGCGACGCGGTGCACGACTGCATGAGAAGAAGGAGCACTCAACTGCTGTGAGTTTAATACTTGTACAGAGAACCCTGTTTATTACTGTCTTTTTTTGCACTAGAATAGATCCTTTTTTTAAGATTTTCGTTTCATTATGGCTGCGAAGAGGTATACGTGATAAAATCTTTAGGCTTTTTATTGTTGCAGAACTATTTCACACAGTACAGGACTTGCTTGTACTTGATTTAGTTTAATGTTGAATGATCCTGCTTGTAATCTATTAAGGAAATAAGGTAACGCTTTCCTTGAACCTTGCTATAGAACATAACAATTATGTGGATGATTATATAGTGCTAATTTGAAATTTGTAAATATGATCTGTTCTTGTATTTTATGAAATTGTTTTTTTAAGACCCATATTACTGAAAGCTGAATTTCCCTCACCCATTTTTTTTGTGTTTGTTGTAGTATGTAAGTATTGGTAAAAATATTAAAAGTACTGTTTGCTCCCCAGTCCATACAGTGGATTCTAAATATTATTTCAAATTAGTATTTTGCAACTAATTTTCACTGCCTTCATTTACTCAGGAGCAAGCTGTTGATTCCAGGACCAGGCTTCTTATGTACAAGATGGTGAATGCTGGAATTCTGGAGAATATTAATGGCTGTATCAGCACAGGCAAAGAGTCAGTGGTGTTTCATGCTGATGGAGGAAGGTGAGTGGTTGCCGTACATTTGAAGGAAAGGAGTCAGCTCTGTAGTTAGGGCTGGGCAGTAAATGATAATGATCGCGATATAACTGTTCCTCGATAGAGCGATAAGACACGTTTGATAAATTTTCGATATAATACACCATTCTCACACTTCCACGTTCTAGCGAATGCCCTGTTTGAGTGGAGCGACTGGCGATCTGTTCTCCTGTGACCAAGTGTGAGTGACGAGATAAGTGGCGTAACTGTACTGTCCTACAGTGACCTCACCTCTTAAATCACGTCTGATACTCACAACTACAGCACTGTTACAGTGCTCAGTCATATTTTAGTGCATTCCCAACGAAAGTGAAAGAAAGAAGTGGGTTCATG